TCAGAGGTTGTTTCAGGGTTCGCGCGATAAAATTGAGACAAAGTTTTTCAAAAAGAAAACAACAACAAGAGAATAAGGAGGGGAAAAATACACGATTTACAGAAGATACTGAACAACACTATACAGAGTCTACACAGGACCGGAATAAGAAAGGTAGTCCGGACTTCCCAAACGTCTCCATCAATATCATCAGAACTCTAAATACCGGTATCTTCAATAGCGTTTATTCAATTAATTAGGTTTGAATCTATAGTAAACTTTTATTTAAACAAGCAACTTTACTAGTAAACAAAATTAGCACACCTTCAAAAATGGAACTGATCAGAGCGGTGATAAAATTTAAACAAGATACAGTTGATTAGCAGCGCTTCTTGTTGTTAACTCAAAGATATTCTAATATTCTGATATTTACCTTGACGTTGTGAAACCAAGAAGGTTTACATAAACAAAAAATTGTTGTAACTTGATCGAGTTTACAATTAAAGTAATCATTAGTAATGAAGAGCTATTGTTTTGAAACTCGTCGGGATATCATCGTTATTCCTTTCGTATCCTTTGGGATACTCATGAATTTTTCGAAGAGTAAAAACAAAAGAAAATGAATCCCCTGGAGGTTTGTCACGCTGAATTGGGAAAACATTGTCACACCACGACTAAGGTTTATAGAAGACCCTCAAGGGTCAATAGTCGCACCAAATTTAAAAACACGTACCATATCAGGAACAATCGTTTTATGGTTGTAAACAAAAACCTGTTAATAACCTACTCAGCCTGATTTCTCACTAGATACCAAACTATGATAAGGACCGTTACAGCCTGAGTTGGAAAAACGGTTTTGTTTTATTTTTTACCCTATTACAACTTATTAAATCAAAAGCCTATCCTATGAGGCGCAACCATACTRTCTGACTTGGGAAAATGGCTTTCTTTAATGCGTTTTTTACTTATTACAGCTTATCCAATCGAAAGCCTATGAGGCGCCGCGGTCAAGAATATGACACGGCACGGCACGGTACGTGTATAGCGAAATACGTTGCGCATCTCGCAGTAAACACGTTGAATATCTTCCAGATTAGAGAGTTTTAGATTGCCTTTTTTTTCTCCACGCAAACGGCAAACGTAACCACGTTTTCATAGTTTTCCTGTATTTTACTTTACCTTTTACAAACCTTCTCACCAAGCGCAAATGCTCATTTGTTTTTCTACTGGTTGGACTTTTTTGCGATTCTTTTTCAGTAATTTAAAAGTATTTTTTACTGGTCAACTGACGTTCCACGTTTGCCGTGAACGTAAATCTAAAACTCTCTATTGTTGACATATTGTCGTTTATGCTTTCTTAAAGTGCTTATAAACCTTTACACAATATTTTCAGATAGGGTTAGGGTTTTTACTTTGAGATACGAAAGTTTATATTCCCAATATGTTAATGACTATGACGTAACATAAGGGACTTGAGTTATTTTGTGGCAACTTTTAATATTGAACGCTGGACATTTTTTGAAAACAAATTTGTAAGAACCTTTACGTGAGTCACGAGTAAAAGGGTGATGCTTTTAAAATACTGTATTCCATAACGAGTGCAGTATTGCATACTAAATGATCCCTTATGTTACGTCATAGTCATTAACATATTGGGAATATAAACCTTCGTATCTTAAAGACCCGACATTCAAATGACGAAATATTTTCACAATCAACTATCCACTATCTAAAGAATCAATTCTGAAAATATTGTGCAAAAGCTTATAAGCACTTTAACAGTGTCGCTTTCTACAATAGTTACATACGTTTTAGTTTGTCACGTGGTTCATCTTTAATTACGTACACGCGTGAGACCATTGTTAAACTAATAACCTATTTTTTTGTACATTTGCTATATTTTCTTGTGCTCTTTGGCACCTACAAGAAGGTCTGATACCAATGTTGCGGTCAATACCAGTAATGGTTTTTARGAATGGTATCACGTGATCTTTAGATGTTTAGATGTCATTCAAATGACGAAATATTTTCACAAYCAACTATCCACTATCTAAAGAATCAATTCTGAAAATATTGTGCAAAGGCTTATAAGCACTTTAACAGTGTCGCTTTCTACAATAGTTATATACGT